ATCCGGTCCGGCAAGACCATTGAGCTATCCGTTTTCGACATTTTGTCCGGCGACGTGGTCCACCTCGAGCCTGGCGATCTACTCCCCGTGGACGGTATCCTGATCCAAGGCTTCGATGTTAAATGTGATGAATCGCAAGCCACGGGTGAATCGGATATTATTCGCAAGATGGCTGGCGACGACGTTTTCAATACCATTGAGAATGGGGAGAATCTCAAGAGGGCTGATCCTTTCATTCAGTCGGGAGCCCGTGTGATGGAAGGTGTTGGTACGTTTATGGTTACATCCACTGGTATCTATTCCAGCTACGGTAAAACTCTCATGGCCCTGAACGATGACCCTGAGATCACCCCTCTCCAGTCCAAGCTCAACATCATAGCCGAATACATCGCCAAGTTGGGAGGTGGCGCCGGTCTGCTTCTGTTTATCGTCCTCTTCATCATGTTCTTGGTTCACCTTCCCCATAACCAGCGATCGCCGCTCACCAAGGGTATGGAATTCCTGGACATCTTCATTGTCGTTGTCACGATCATTGTTGCGGTTCCGGAAGGATTACCTCTCGCAGTCACCCTTGCTCTGGCCTTCGCGACAACCCGCATGGTTAAGGACAACAACCTCGTTCGACACCTGAAAGCTTGTGAAGTCATGGGAAATGCAACCACAATCTGTTCGGACAAGACCGGTACCTTGACCCAAAACAAGATGCAGGTTGTAGCGGGTACGGTTGGAACCAGTCACCGTTTTGGCAGTGCGCCTAACCCCGAATCTGGCGAAGAGAATAACGACGCTGGTTCCAGCGATCTCAGCGCACCAGAGTTCACCAAGGTTCTGTCCTCTGAGGTCAAGGAGCTTCTCCTCAAGTCCATCTCTTTGAACTCGACCGCATTTGAGGGCGAGGTGGAGGGTGTCATGACATTCATCGGCTCGAAGACTGAGACTGCCATGCTTATTTTTGCCAAGGACCATTTGGGTATGGGCCCCGTCAGCGAAGAACGATCCAACGCTACGATTCTACAACTTGTTCCCTTCGACTCTGGCAGGAAGTG